GCTACATACATCTGCAGCCACCGCCGCCATCTTGGTTCTTCTAATGTCATGAGTTACATCTCACCCAGTTGTAGACGATTTGAGGAAAAACAAATCAAGTTTAGCAATTTTATTGAACTGACAGTCAGTGGTTTTTAACTTTTTAACTTTTGTTTAAAAATAATTTAAATTTTAATGAAAACTTTTAAATTCAGAGCCCCTCCTTTGTTACAATAGTCAAGTTGTCTAATCAATTTGAGTTATTAGTAAGAATATTTGCACTTCAAACAGGAAGGACTGACTCACCGAACCAAATATATCAGCTTCCGATCACGTTTATCCTTTATGATGCAAGGTGTTCAAGTGGTGTTACACACACAGGTGATGCAAATCTGAGCAACCATTTAACTGTGTGTGTGTGTGTGTCTGTGTGAGGTGTGTTAGACAAGCCTTTCTGTAAGAAATGTCCATTTAACCATGACAAGGACCGTCCCCAGCACATGTGCACTCATCCATCTGAACCTCAGTGGGCGTGGTGAGCGTCAGGAGTTTCGGTGGGCCCCGGAGGTTTTGTGAGTCACCATGGAAACGGGGTAAACACAGGAGGACACGGATGGTCAGTAATAATTCACCAGGAGCTCAAATAATAAAGAACCATGCTGGAATTTCATGGGTGTGGTGGGTTATTTATGTATTTATTAATTTTTTACCCCACTTCACACACACATAGCTGACAGGAGAGGCACCTTGCCAGGAAAGGTTTTTTTCTTCATTTCCAGCACAGATTCTTGTTTTACAAAATAACTGCGGTTGCCAAGCATAAAAGTTTAATGGTGCTGCGTAATAAAGGGTAACGTCAGCTGAGGAATCACAATTATTGGATAGATCTGTCGGTTAAAATAATAATAATAATCAGTAGTCCTCAATCCTGCAAGTTTTAATTGTTTCCCTGCTCTTACGAGCTCTACAGAAGCCTGTTAATGACTCGTTTATTCAGGTCGGGTGTGAAGCTGGGAAACATCTGAAAGATGCAAGACAGTGGGCCTCAAGGACCAGGACTGAGGGCTGCTGATCTACATTATCAAGAGAAAGAAATAAGCATGGGATTTTGTTTTTCAAAGATAAATCCTGTTAAGTAATTATTTTATTATTWTTTTTTTTGTAATGGAAGATTTTACAGCATGAATGGTTAATTTTTAAAGAGCACAATGCTCAGTTTGGACGTGGCCAGCCCAGAGGAAGGTTTATAAATGGGTGTGTTTTATCTTGTTTGCTCTGTTGGATGATAATCAATGAATAATGACTGCATCCATAATTCATTTCCTAATGAAAGTTTTATGTGGCCCTGCACACTGATCTTGAAGATGTGTTCATGACACCATCCTCCTGGAGTTGCACCACACGCCAGAGGAAAAATGTGTCAGAAGTAAAATGTGACGTGAAAGGTGAAGACCCTACAAAGTAACCTGTTTGTGTGGAGAAATGTGTTAATATCAGAAAAGTTTAAAAATTACATTTTTATTTAAAGGAGACATATCCTGCTTTTAAAGTCTTCTTTTCCACATTTAAATCATTCAGTTGGGGTCTATATAAAGTGGAACTGCAATGTTTTGATTTGAATAGCCTATATGCCACGGTCATTAATGACGTATTTCCGGTAAAATTTTTGCCACGCTCCTCCCTTCCACTCCCTGCTTACTRCCTATGTTTTTAGCGTTAGCTGCTAGTACTAGTCCGTGAAAAAGTCAGAAAAGTTAAAGCATCTGTGATCTGCTGGTATAAAACGTGAGTTCTGTTGTGTGCTGTTGTGTCCACTAAGCAGTAGATACGATCGAGTGGTTAGTTTTTCTCCTTTCTCCTTTAGATGAGGAGGTGACAGCAGAGGATCATAGCATTACAGGGAAAACTTATCTTTAAAAGCTCAYRCTTSYGTTTGTAATCGGCATTTCTAACCTGAGGATATTCAAGAGTCAGCATCAGAAATGAGAAGATGGAGGTTACAAAAAGGAAATGTACATTTATCCCCTTTTAC